TTAAAATGTTCCGAATAACTAAGTCCATTCTCTTACTAGAGATTGGAATGAATATAAAAATGAATATAGCGTGCTAGATGAAAAATAGAAGAAAATATACGAAAAGTTGCAAATATATTTCACAAATTATTTGTAGTGACTGACACCCAGCAGGTCTAGTACGACTGAAGAAATGCTGCAGCTGCTGCCCTTTACATATATAGGACGACTTTCACTCAAACACTAAATCGCGCTCAAATGTTGAGACCGGCCCCAGTTGCAGTCGAGCTTAAGTGACTAATGGGAACACTTTGAGCTGCTTTCAGCATTCGAGCTGCATACATATTTATACATAGACAACTTAAATGATCTGTGTTTCTTATTCGTCTCTGGCTTCTGTTAGAAAGCAGACAGAGAGACAGATATACAGACAGGCATACTAACAGGGATATGTACATACCCATATGTATCTGTATGTATAAACGAGGCTTGATGAGGCTTAATCTTGGTATGCTAAATTGAAAATATGAACATTAATAGTTATAATCATTTTCGTTTTAGGACTTCTGCACAGTCTGCCTCAATTTCCGGCTCATTTTCAATGGTTTTTGTTATCAATAATCTGGCAACACTGATTCCTAAGCATGAAAGCATTTGGTTTTTTAAAGTACTATTCACATGGTCACACTTCATTATAGACTACTCAGAAATATCGGATTCTGGTAGAATTCATTCAATTCACATTGGGGAACTACCAAAAAACAAAGTTTCGAGTCTAAACTTTATAGCGATTCGAGCTTGAATATCAACATGTCTTTGAGTAAGCTAGAAAATTAACTGATTTTTCCATTAGATTATTTTATTAATGTTCCATCTACAGGCTTTACTCAATATTGGCCAAAGCTTTTGGAAAAAATTCGAATCGCCGATGAAATACAGAATAAAGTAGATGAGATTGCAGCGGAATTGGAAACATTTTTAAAAGCAAACTTGACTCGGAAAATTCGCCTTTATCCCTTTGGCTCGCGTGTCTTGGGCATTGCTCAGGAAACATCCGACTTGGACATTTACATAGAATTTGGTAAGTATTGAATGCCCATACATACATAGTTATGTAGATGCCTGCCTATGCTATACATACATACATATATACAAATGACAATACATGTGTGTTTCTATATTTATGCACATCGTTTTCTGCTTAGCGTCAACATTTGAAATCTAGTTTTATGTTTTGCTCAGCGAATTATCGTAAAATGCAAATATAACAAATACAATTTGACTATTATGTGATAAGAATATTTCAAACAGTTCGATATCAGCTTGAAAATATCTTACACTCTGAGCATTGCAAATACGAACTCAATTCGTCTATGTGGCAGGGAGAGCACTGGCACCAATAAGGTCTTGGATATAATACATTTTTGGGATATGTCAAGTGAAGACATACATACATATATAAAAAAGCTTACGAATTAAAGTATATCAATATGTTATTCAGTTCAAGAGCTACAGACTACAGCCATGAAAACCTACGAGTAGTTTCCAAATTACAATTAAAATAACGGTTGTTTGTATTCAAATATGTGCATTGCTGCTATTAGGAGGCATTATTACGATACTCTAAATATTTGGTCAGAACTTTTAGATGTCATCAGCATCTAGTCCCAGAGAAGAGCTTCATTTTTGTACAGCAACTGGAGCAGTCTAACTTGTCATTTTAATCATCTTACATATACTTATATTCAGACGACAGCTTCTACGATTACAAGAGTTGTGCCACTTGGGAGGACTCTGAGAGACAGGAACTTATTTCAAAAGCGTTTGATTCACAATCGAAATGGATTCGCATTGAAAATCGCGGCGGCAATTGTCCCTTAGTGATAATTCAAAACAAACACACGAACTTACAGTACGACTTAAGTTTCACTAACTGTTACGCCTACAGCCAGAACAAAATAGTCGTATATCTATTCAAACTGCAGCCAATCGGTAAGTCAAATCGTCGTCTACTATTTGTATACGTATTAATATGTGCTTGCAGCCCGTTATATGATAATCTATTTGAGAGATTGGATAAAAATGCATGGACTGCATATGGAATTCCGTAACCATCTACTTCTTTTGATGCTCATATTCCATTTGCAAATTCGGGATGAACTTCCATCCATCGAAAAATTGCAGGAAAATCTAAGCCCAAGGAGTGGACGTATGCAACAATAAAAATATTAATAATGCTGAATATAATTCTTTAATTAATTAATAATTTACAGCTTACATTTATCATTTCAACGAATTGCATCAGAACAAAATACCATGCGCAATACCTCTTACGGAGAATAATGTACGAGCTAAACTAAAGGAGTTTTTCGAATTCTACGGCAGCTTTCGGTTTGAAAAATATGCAATTTGCCCCTATTTGGGAAGATATATAGAGCGATCGATGCTCAACGTATCCATGCCGAAAAGGTAGTGTGCGAATTAAATACTCTTCGATGATTCCTAATATTTTCATATTTTATTCATTGCCAGATACCAAATGTTCTATCGGGATAATAACTTTACCCGATTTCCCGTGGCCATCCAAGATTTCATTAATCTTAATTATAACAAAGCATGGCAAATCCGTTATATGCACTTATCGAAATTCAAAGTCAAATGCGCTTCGGAGCGCGTTGAACGGATTACCCATAACTAACCATTTCTCGTTTATGAACCTAAGAACAAAGCTAATGAAATACTCAACGCAAGTGAACATTTGCCTGCACTTATCATTTATCTCATCTTATGTATCTGTTAGTAGTTAGCTAACCAGATTTATTTGAAATGAAAATATAATTCTGATTTAAAGAACTTGAAGTAAACCCCACTCATTTATATTGCGCACTTGAACTGCCGATTAGCGGCGCTGTCACTCCGAATAGAAGGCATTCAATGTAATTGAAATCATCGTCCCGTGGCATTGGCATTAGACCATCAGGACGCATGCGGCATGCCTCGCTGCACAAATTGATTTTCAATTGAAAATGGGGGCAGTTAATGAACGAATTTCATTAATTAATCAATGTTATTCAAATAAATTTGAATCTAATTAGGGAGTCGCGCGAATATAAAAGGATACTCCCCAAAGCCGTTGGGCAACAGTAGCTGATACCCTGGCCCAGGCTAAGCATTGATAATGCCCCAATCGCAGCTGATTCCCCATGGGCTGGATAGACTCCGTCTGCTGCTTGGCCTGAGCATAATATTTGTGATTTGCCAGCAAAGTGCCACCGTGTAAGTACCAGTCGCAGATCCATCCGCCTGACCGCATTGTTGTAAAAGCCAACTTGGTCTGCCTCCAACAGCGGCTACGCCAGTTCGGACATATGCACCTCGATCATTGAGTCCGATATCTGCCCAGACAGCTACCATCGCAAGCGGGATGGGCTCTGCATCAAGTCTCTGTGCTACCTCAAAGTGAACGACGACTGCTACCCACAGGACAGCGAGGCCAGATGTGCAAGGTCTCTGTCGTGCGTCTGCAACCGATGCACGAACTGCAGCGACTACAACCACGCCTGGAAGTGCCTGAGAGCCAGGTGTGAGGACTATAACCTGAAGAAGCGCATTCCGACCCGTTTCCTGCCTTGGCTCAATCGCGCTCGCTGGCAGAACTTCTCGAAGCGACTCATTGAGCCCAATTATGAATACTGAACGTCGACTCTAGGATCAATTGCCAAATACTCGAATAATCGCAACGGACCCGAACTACATACATACATACATACACACGTAAATGCATACCTTAAACATATTTAAACGCCAATAACAATTGTAGCAAATAAAGAGACCATTTTTGCCATAGAGCAACCCTCAAAGTTGTGTGCGCTACCTAGATGTCAGCAATGGCTTGTAATTCCCAACTGGTGGTTCGCCTGCATGACAGTATAAATATGAGTTTTATCGAGGAGAACTTCGTTCTTGCTTCGGCAGAACATATACTAAAATTGGAACGATACAGAGAAGATTAGCATGGCCCCTGCGCAAGGATGACACGCAAAATCGTGAAGCGTTCCACATTTTTTTTGTCAGTACTTTAATATTGAGAATCTCTGATAAATCTGCACTTGCTCAAAATAATATAAAACAAAATTTAAAGTATTCAACCGCAAATGGTATTTTATAAATTTTCACACTAGCCAGCCATCAACAAATGTCCACAGAAACGTATAGCCGAATAATTTCAAACAGCTTGAACTTAACGAAGCGGTTGCGGTTTTATAATTAATATTGCAATTATAGTTGCTACTAATAGTTGTTGCTGTCTGCCCAAGGATGGCGCTATACTTCGATTCCAATTAGCAAATATAAAGTTAACGACTATTTAAGGTAGCGAATACTCTAATAAACCTCGTACCATAGATGGCGCTACAAAGTGTTTTTTTCGCTTTAAAATTCCAGTTAGACATGCCGACTGCAAACCAATCAATTATTTAACGAAGCGCTGCTGAGCTACCAACTCTGTGCAACAGATGGCGCCACAAAAAATAGGCGGGCAGTATTTACAATACGTTTAAATTCAAATTAACCTTGTTTCAATTCACGTGCAAGCACGGCAACAGCCTTCGTTCGCTAAGATACGCAACGTATCGAATCGGATCGAAATATCTATTGAAATATTTGGCTATTACATTTTGAACTGCTATACACGCACGAAAGAAACCCTAAGGTATTCAACGCCATGAACTTGACTCTGCGTACGCGACAATAAATAATGAAATAAATGCCAAATGGCCGCACGATGTTGCCTAATTAAATTCAGCTCGGCCACTGCACGACAAATGGGCACACATACGGCTTACGAACATAAAGTGGGTTTGCCTCAAAGTAAATAAGGAAATTAAATGACAATTACCAAAGAGCGTGCGAGTATGTGTGCGTATATGAGCTTTGCAGCCTATTCGGCCGGGCTCTCCGAGTCGCCCAGTCTTAGTGGCGTTTCCACTCACATATTTGGCTGGCCTGCAAAATTTGAAGTCAGTTGCCAGTTGACGCTCGCATGATTCACATGCAAAAAAAAAATATATATTAAGCAAATGTATTTATAAAATATAAAAGGTATCGCGAATTCGGAACAGTTAACTGTAAACCTGAGTGCGGGCGTTGCATACGGAACGAAAAGTTGAATTTTTGATTTTCACTCTAACCCAAATATCAGGAAGCACATTTGTGGTCAACTAGTTGAAGTGCCAAAATAGCGCCACAAATCAAAATAAACGATCGATAAACAACGTAAAATAAACATCTTTCGGAGCTGCAGCAGGTGGGTGAAGCTCAAACTGTGGCTTGCCTCACACAACGAGTTGCGCTATTTCAAGTGGCAAAAGAAATTACACAATTTGCAACTAAAACTAACAACAACAGCAACAACTAACTGACTGACTAACTTTCAGCTGTTGGCTGGCTTTGGTCAGCTGAAGCTTGGCCAGAGCCGGCAGCAATCCAAAGCTGCACAATTCACAATTTGCCGCTTGTTATTGTTGTGGTCTTTACATACATATATATATTTGGTTGATGTTGCATGTCAACAGAGGTGGCCAGGTCTAAAAAGCTTAGCCTACGGCCAAACATAGAGCTGCATATTGTCCAATCTTTCTACTCGCCCGCAAGTTTGTGTCTTGTACAAGTCATTTGTTTACACTAAATGCTTCTCTGCGCTCCAGCGCCCGTTAATGACAACCTCAAATGAATCAAAGTAAAATCCATAAAAAACAATAATAAAAGCAAAAACCTACAGCAGTGGCTTCGACAAAAAGAGGTCAAGTGCAGCGGAAATTATAATACAAGAAAGAAACAAACAAAAAAAAAAACAAAAACAAACCCTGATGAGCACCTGAAATAAAAAGTTGTACCTTAAATTGAGTTAACTAAGTGTTTCTGTTTGTGCACTCCGACATGGCCCTGAGAATCGTGATAGCTCCGTCAAGCATTGACAGGCCCGCAGATAAGAAATCTATACAAAGACAGAAACCAGTTCAAACTGCGAACGACTGCAATTGTAAAGCACTAAAAGCCGTTTAAATCGCAATTAAATACGCAGTTTAAGTAAACAATCAGAGGCCATTGACACAGTAGATTCTAATCATATATATATTAAAATATAGTGATGATCAACAAAGACAATTCAGTTTTCTACCAATATTTTAAATGCCAATTTTTTGATATCCTAATTATTTAAAGTCAATTATTTATTAAATGAATTCAGCATGGGCACAGCCCTCGCTCTGCGTGACTTGATATCATTATGCTCTGCAAGGTTTTTGTAAACGATGTTGGGAATTACCTCTAAAAGACAACTATTAAGACGCAGCATGGCTCTTAAGATTCAAGCACAAAATGAACTTCAAACTTCCAAACAGCAACAGTCAAAGCAGTTCAAGCCAGCACAGCGGTTGAAAATTACTTTTAAGAAGCTGTTCAATAAATAAAATTATAGTAAACGAAAACGAATTTAGAGCCAAGCAGTTTCCATCTATAACTACCTAAAACGAATTTCAATCTCTTGAAATTCAACCTAACAGTAGCTCAGTGCAACTAAAACTGTAATCAAGCCAAAACATATTTAAATATTCAATAATAGATATTTTGAATGTCAACTCTGTTTGCGCTTCGCACCTGCTTAAGACTATAAGCAAAACATACAAGCATTTCACACTTACACACATACATCATTTTCGTTGGTATTCGACAGGGCGCGGGGCAAAGCAAGCAGCAACATGTCGCAACAGCTGCTTCCAAACTGTAACGGTCACTGTTTAGCAGTTACTTTCCTTGTGTTTGTTATTATTGCGGCGTTTGTGGGCAAAACCAGTGCATCCAGTCAAATAGACGTGGACGAAGATCTGAAACACTTGATCGGCCGCTGTCACAGAGATGAAGCGAATCTGGATGCGTACAACGATTGCATGAAACAGGTGTTCAACGATCTGCGCGCCTATTTCACAACAGGTGAGCCACAATTATGAAGAGTTCAAGTGGAATTGAGCGAGTTAACAAAATGTGCCCCTCTTCATGCAACAAGGTGTGCCCAGTTACAATATTCAGCCCTTTGATCCGCATCACTCGTCGTTTGTCGAATTGCGTCGGGGCGATCCGCACGGCCCGGGCAGCTTAAAGCTGATCTTGCGCAATGTCTCGGAATACGGCTGGTCGCACTCCGAGGTGACGAAATTTCACAGCGAACCCAAAGATCAGCGCATCGTCTATGCGCAATACTTTCCCGAGAAGAGTCTTGAGGGTGAATACGAGTTCCTCGCCAAGATACTGGGCACCGAGCTGCGACGACAGGGTCATTGGAATCTGACGCTCTACGACTACAGGTGCACTGTCTTAACATTTGTATTAGAATTATATATTTATTTCCTAATCTGATGTCCATACTGCATTCCACAGTCAAACGACGAGCGTACGACGCGTGGGCGAACCGGGCTCACTGCTCAAGGTGCATATGGAGGTCGATCACATTGGCCGCATGGAGTTGCATATAGGGAATTTGTTGCAGGGACAACCATTGAATCAACTGGCCGATGGGGTCATCAACAGCATGTGGCAACTGGGCCTGCCATTTGTTCGACCGATGATCAATGAACTGGTGAGCACGGCATTCACGGATATATTCAATGAATCCTTCCGTTACTTTCCGCTCGAAAAATTTCTTAGCTAGTTTATCAAAGATTTATATATTTGTGCTCGCGAGTGTGCGTAGATTTAATAAAAGTTGAGGTTGTGCATTAACTAAACATCCGCCAAGCTACTGGCTATTTCATTATCCTGCTGCGCCTTCTTGGGCGGCATCAGCGTCGACAGCGCCAGGCTGCGCGCAAAAATGCTGCCAAGCGAGATGACAACGTAGCTGGAGCATTGGAATTGCTGTTCCACGGTGTCATAAAGCAATTGATACGCCTGCTCCAGTTCAGGCGTTAGAGTAGCTACACAGCCAAAGGGAAAGAGAGAGAGAGAGAAAGGGATAAACTGTTAGTCTTAGTTCACAGCGAGCTTTATTGTTGCACTCACGTTTCTGATGCAGTTGCTGCTTGCTGAGGTCGAATATGAAACGCAGGTAGCACAGCTGATTGTAGAGATCGCGCTCCGAGTATTGCCGCAGCATGGCACCACTGTTGCATTTGAGGCACAGCGGTCGACGCAGCTCGAGCCGCAGCGAATAGGTTCTTGTATTATAGTTGCAATCAGGATGATCGCACACCAGCCAATTGCGATAGAAACGCTGCACGTAGCCTCGCATGCACAGCTGCAGTTGATTGCGTATGCTAACCAAATATTGCATGGGCGATGTCTGGCACTCGGGATTGACGCACTGCTGCAGCACCGGCACATGACTGCTGTTGGGGCCCGGCCGATAAGCGCTGGCCATAAGCTGCTCCGTCTTACAGCTAACGCATTTGAAGCGAAAGGGTTCACAGAGGCGATAAAGCTGCAACGTGGTTTTCTGCAGCGACTCACCCTCGGCTTCTTCCGTACGCTCCCGCTGAACGCTGTGTGAGTGTAGAGGATCTTCGTAAGTAGCGAAACTACAAGTTGGGAGGCTACACTTACCGCTGCGCATTCTGCCTGTATTTACTAGAATCCATGCCCAGGCACTCGGCAATGCGACTTGCATCGGTGCCCTCGAGCACTTCCACCATGCGTGTGACCACCGGATGTATCTGATTGCCCAGATAGTAATTCGTGTCGAGCTTCAGGGTTTCGCTGCTTTTCAGCTCGTCCAGATGGTAGGCACGCTGCATGGCCGCATTCGTAGTGCCGTCCAAACAGATCACATAGTCGACCATGTCGCCCTTTTTATAGCGTCGATTCCTTTCTCGATTCATGCGCAACGCCACCTGAACGTGGGGCAGTGACGCGCTGTTGGCATATTCCTGTGGTGCACGTGTCAATTGCTTTGTAATCACGTACAGCGGCAGCGGCACAGCGGACTTTGCTATTTGGTCCTTGATGCGACCAAGTTGGGCATGCACCGCATCAAGTTTATCCTCCAGAGGCTTGTCGGAGAGCACTTCATCCAGCACTGCCTTGCCTACCATCACGGCCAGCTGGGACCAATCGCGACGCACTATATCTAAGCCCTTGTGCTCCTGTTCACGTATCAACACGCCTTTGGCGTTCTTGGTCAGCTTGACGGCAGCATATTTCTTCTTTTTGAGAAGCAGCAAACAGGCAAAGACACCATCAATGTCCAGTTCGAGTTGCTTGTACAGCTTGTTCACGCTCTGCTTGATGGTGTGTCCGATCTTGTAGACCTGATCGTAGTCCGTTATGTTCGTATTGATCATCAGCGAATCCGTGTCGCCATAGACCACATCATAGTTGAGCTTCTGCACCAATTGCTGCGTGTTAACCAGGATCTCTCGTCCCTTGTGCGTCACTAGAGCTGCCAAATGCTGTGCAAAGAAGCGAGAATGCGCGAAACCCAGACAGCCGTACATAGAATTCGCAGTCAGCTTGAGTGCCATCTGTCGTATATGATATTGCATCTGCAGTTCCGGCGATAAGTCTGGCACAGCCATTAGCTTCTTGACCTGGCGACGAGACTCCACCAAGCGGCGCAGCTGCATTGGCAAAATGCCTGGCTCTGCACTAGAGTCGGGCAGCACAGGCAGCTGGTCCGCATCGTGCGGCTGTTGTACTGTGGTGAAGCAAATATTATACTCCTGTATGATGCTCGGATACAGAGAATTGAAATCCATGAGCAGCACGTATTTTTCATATAGTCCACGCAAAGGTTCCAGCACCAAGCCACCTGCATATGCAGCCTTCTTACGAGCTGCTCCACTGCCCGCAGCCACCGTTGTGTCATTACCCGTCGTGGCATCGGGATCAGTTTGAGTGTTGGCTACGGCGCCACGCCTTTGTGGCAGCTTATCGGGTACAATGTAGTTCTTCTCATGAAAGGCATGAAGCAGCAGAAACTCATTGCGTTCGGACCGCCCGCCCTGAAGTGTACGCGTCATTGTATTGCCGCAAATGTTGGTTATCTGCAGTGCCAATGGCATGATATTCAGCTCGCACATGAGGCGCAGCATATAGGATGCGTCCTGCATGGTTAACGAGATGAGCTTGGTAATGTTTTCGCCTGCCGGTGATATAAGAGACAATTATTCGCGACAATTATAATTTTAGCTGCAACTGACTTCCGCTTACCCTTCTCATACATCTCCAGCAGATCATCCGCATTAACGTCCATGCGTTCCGACTCCTGCAGCTTGAGAACCTGCTGGCACAGTGTCTGCAGATCGTAGGATCTGGCTCTTATGCACTCCTCCGCCGAGCGTTTGACATCGCAAACCATGCGACCCACAAAGTGATCCAGCAGACGCTTTCCGAAGGTTTGTGTGAAACGCAGACGTCCCATGCGCGACCACTGAGGTATCTTCAGGGCCACAATCTGATCCGTTATGACATTCAACTGGCAATCCATCGCGTCAAATGTGACTATAAGATCTGCATCGATTTGCTGATACTGCGCCAGAAACCAACTGAGCAGCGCACGCTCAGAGTCGTGTTTGTAGATCTTTGTGGACTTGTACTTGGCAAGCTGCAGATTCAAATCAAGAGGCCAAGTGGAGACAGCGGGTCGGGTAAGGGCGCACATGTGGCGGTTGAAGGCAGGCTGCGGCGCCGGCTTGTCTATATAAAATCGATTGTGGGTGAGCATCGAAATCATGCAGATCTCGTTCTTGAGTGTCTTCGGATTCATAGATGTGCGAACGTTGAGTGTTAGCAGAGTTAAAGGAGGCGGAGGTGTTGGTTTTCCCTGCTCAAGCACGAGCTCCACGTTCTTCGGCTCCGTGATCGTCACATCGGTTTTGCACCAGCTGATGGGCGCTGGATTTATATTGAAGCCACTAATCTGCAGCCAGCACGGACCTTTGATCTTGCGATCCAGAAGAAAGCGCTCCAGCGCATTGGTGTTGGCGCCAAATATGTGCGCTATGGAATCGTATTTCTTATTTAAGACATTTGGCGCCGGCTTCTTGCCATCGTAATGAACCTCTAGGTAGTCGCAGGTTTGCGGCACATCGATGCCTATGGCATGGTTGGCAAAGTTCTTGCTAACCTTTCGGGAACGGAACGTATCAAGTTTCAGTTCGGTGGCAATGTGCGTATCGAACTCCTTGTACATGTCGGCCGCTGTGACCTTTTGCTTGGTGGGCTCCTTTGTAATGGGATCTAGTAACTGAAGTTGGAACACTTTAATCATGGTTTACAGCCCACGACATTAGTTTAATACTCACATATTGCCTGGGCAGAAGATAGAGCACGCGATTGATATTCTGAACACGCACACATATGGACTTGCCGTCTGCCGTACGACCAAAGAGAAAAACTTCGCCGGGCAGCTTCTGCGCATCTTCCCAAGCTTCCCAGTACCAAAATCGCAGTTGCTCGACGTCAACTGGATCACTGCCGGCGGCTGCCTCTGCTTCACTGGCTAACACCGATTTCTCGAAATCATCATCCATTTGACATATCGACTCCCAATTGTTAAGCAGCTTGTTCATGTCCTCTGCTTCTGGTTTGGCAGCGCCATTCGCAACTGATGCGGAGATATCCTTAAGCTCTGGTTTGACAGCGGGCTTGACCTTCGAAGCAGCCAACTCGAACTGGTTCTCATCGTCATCTAAGCAACTAAAGTCCAAGTCATTGTCGTCAGGTTCCGGCGTAGCTTCTTTCTTTGCCTTCTTCCTGGGCTGTTCAGTTGTTTCCTCCTGCTTTACTTTGACTAGAGCCGACGCTGCAATTGTCGTCGCCGTCTTGTTAGGCTGCATTGTTGCCTTTGGCTGCAGTATGCGATCAAGCATTTCGTCATCATTGCTTGCTTCTTTTTTACGCTGCTGCTCTTGCATTTTGATGTTGCTCAGAAAGCTATTCATATACTCCTTAGCCGCAAGAGCATCAGATTTGCGTGCAGCGGCAACAATTTTAGCTGGCGCAATTATTTTTTGTTGCTGCGATGCAGACGAGTCGCCAGCAGGCTCTTCCTTGATTTCCCCCAATATGTCTGCCAGAATATCGTCATCCTTGACACTGTTTTTGATGTCCGCCTTCTTTGGTATCGCATTGCTGAAGAGATTTCGAATAGACGCCTTCCCCTTGGCTGGGCCTGTGTCGTCGCGTGGCCGCTTCTTGGCGTTGCCCGTTTTCTTTTTCTTGTTATCACTTTGACCGCGACCTTCCTCATCAGAGTAGTCATCCTCATCTTCAAAGAAGTCACGACCATCCTCTGCGTAACCAGTGCCGTCTGTAGACGTAGACGTAAATCATATTTGGCTGATAGGTTTTGTCTTTGTCATTCATGTGAAATTCTACTTACCGTCCTCAATCCAATCGCCGCCATATTTCTCATTTGCTCGTTTCGCATATTCCCGTTCGTCCACCACTTCGTACACATCGTCCACTTTTTCTTCCACCTGGCATTTGTTTTTGGTGCCCTTCAAACTTTTGAGGCGCTCCAAAGCTGCGAAACGACCGGATTTGTCTATGCGTTGTCGTTTGACACGCGGTCCAGCTGTTTGGGCATTTTTATTATAAACACATCAAGCAATAATATTTTATTACTTACAAGGTGAATCGGCCATTTGGAACACAGCAAGTTTCTTTGAATGTTTTAATTTGCGCAGCCAGTGATTGTTTCACAAAAGGCGG